ATCATGAGCTAATGGCTCACCTCGTTTTACGTATCTTCCCAATCTCTCCAATCTCCTACTCCTCAAACACACCCAAAAACTAAGTGTACAATCAGCATACGCGTGACTAGTGCATATACAGGCACAACTAGCACTTGTCACACCCACATGGTAAGAAGCCTTTGTTCGAAAGTTCCCAACTCTTTTACTTCGTTTTTCGTGCGCACGCTTTTCAAATTGTTAAATGTTATGTTTTTTTTTCAAAAGTTAGCTATTTTAAAAAATAGCTAATACTTAATTAATCACGCGCTAATGGATTGCTCCCTTTTCCGCGCACACTATTTCGGATGGGAACAGCCAGCAGCAAACAGACCCTAAGTACGGTGATCGGTGGATGTGGCAGAGTTGGATGTGAGTTGTGTGATCGATCCAGAAATCGTCTCCAGGTCCGTCACGATCTATAACTAGCTATATAGCTAGCCAGCTTGTTGACCGTTGGTTATTTCCTTCACTAAAATAATGAAAAGGCATATTTTCATGGTGGATGAGCTTGAAGAGAGTGTGTATGGTCTCACCACCTCATCTTCCTTTGGGACATCTCGAATATGTATGGATCGATGGTATCTTGTTCAGAGAGATTGAAAGGTGTAAGGTTGCTGGTCGTTGAACCACGCACGTAGTATATATATACAAGAGCTAGCGTTGGTTGCACCTACGACTAGCAATGCATGCTAGCTAGCTTGCACGGAAACTATATTTACACACAACCACTCCTACGTACTACCTCCGTCTCAAAATATAACAACTTTTAGTTATAAATCTGGACACATATTTTGCTAAAAATATTTTATATTGTAGGACGGATGAAGTATTTGGTAGTTAGGGCACTACTCTCACATATTTATAGCCATTTCCATGCATATATATTCACATTATATACCAAGAAACATTAGTAGAAATAATAGCTCTCAATTAAATTGCGCGAAAACAAACTCCCTCTAGCAAAAACATTTGGCATTTATGATAAGATTTGATCAAACTTAATTTAAAAAATATATAACAATCAACTTTATATTAAAATAAAATGATTAGTATTTTAGAAATTATTGATGGTATTTGAAAAGCTTGACCGAATATTGTTCTGAACATCAAACATTTTTTACCGGAGGGAGTAATGTGTTATAGAGTGGATATACTATATTATGTGGCGCTCATACATTCAAAACAAAATTTCCATAACAACTGCCATATTTTTGTACACATAAGAATGCATGGATAAAGAGGTTCTTCTAGTCCAGTAATATTAGGCAGTTTGATATCATCCATGAGTTTTGTGTTAAAATTACTTATACATTGTTTAATTTACCTTTATTCTCTATCTAATTTAAGGGAATAATGTCGCTGTTAATTAGTGACACATTGACGAAACATGTTTCGATTGACTTATTCGGATACGCCGGTTTTATTCTGACTTTACCTACCATGTTTTTACACTACCTTTTCTTTATCAAGCTAACCACAATTTTAAGGGAAAATTTTATATTATTAACAGGTTTATACACACCCACACACATCAAGTGTATTTCTATCTTACAATGATATAAGTATATAATATGCGATGTTAATTCAATGTGATCAACAAGATTTAAGAGCTTGTTCATTTCTAATTAATATTTTGCAAAATAACTAAGTTATTTGAAAATTTGGATCTATCCTTTAATTTGTTTTTGGGAATAAATTAACCTAACTATATAGCTACTAGCTAGCTAGCTAGTCCTTCGTTGAATTAAATTATTAGCACAGTACATTATAAATATAATAGATATATCATACGTGCACATCAAATGCCTTTATTCCATCAGAAAACCAAAAAAAATATTTTTTTAAAATAATAGAACAATAAATTATATCTTTGCATCATTCATACATGCATGGCTGGCTAAATAATAAAGTCTCTTAATTTATATATCGTGTAGTACACACACCACATTTTATTCAGACTTTATATATACACGCATTGTTAATTAGTAGAGTAGTGTCATGCCAGCTCACAAAACACACTACTATTCTTTACGAACCATGACACATATATCACCGGTGTATTGGATGTACGTACGGAGTCTGATTAATTATATAGACCGTATTCTTCGTACTTGGTAGCAGCTGTTGCTGGACGTACTGCGCATACATATACGCTCATACTTGTTGACTAATTTGTTTGGACCGTACGTATAAAAACTTTAATGTGATGTTATCAAATAGGAGCTGATTTAGTTCAATTAATTAATTCCTTCCACATCTAATTTAAATGAGCCAATGGCACAACGATTCCTAAACGAATAGAAATCAAAACAGTCAAAATACTCCCTTTTTATATATAGGGTTAATTTCATCCATGCCATTGCAACTTTACCAATTTAGAAAAATATTATTGTTATTCGCAATATCAGCTGGGTGTCATTGAAATTTTTTAAATTAGAACTGTGGTATATCGCCGTCACGTTTCCCATCTTCTTCCATGTTCTTCCTTCTCTTTTTCTACTCTCCTTTTTGCTTCTCTTCTTTTCTTCTCCCGGTCGACCGTGTCTGTTGCTCCTCGATGAACCGCTGCCACGCCTGCTGCTCCTCCCCTAACCTCCCCAGCATGCTCCCTGGCCGCTGCCGCCTCCATCTTCACCTCATCCTCCTCACACTAGCTTCGGAAAAGGCGGATCCAGGTGCACGTGTGCTCCCCGGCTGACGCTACCACCATCTTCACAACCCCCTCCTTGTGCAAGCTCTGGGAAAGCCGGATCCAGGCGTCGCCGCCATCTTCACCTCCTACTCCTCCTTGTGCAAGCTCCGAGGAGGCTGGATCCAAAGCGCTACCACCATCTTCACCTCCTCCTCGCGCGAGCTCTGGGGAGATTGGATCCAAGGCGCCGCCGCCATCTTCACCTCCTCCACCGCCCTCATCGCTTGTTGCTCCGCATCCACGCCACAACGCTCAAGGTGGAGGGGGAAGCGGATGGAGAGGTGATGGTGGTCGCCACCAGCGTCGCTTGCTGCTCCACCTTCGTGTCCTTCAAGGGCGTCGGTTGCCACGAATGCCAACCTCATCGGTTGCTGCTCCGCCGTCCCAAACAGCGCCCTCATCACGCTGTCCCTCTTTGTCGTCGACCTCTCCCACTCCCTAGGCTTTGGTGTTGCCAGCCTTGCCCGCTTCACCGGCCCCTCGATGGGGAGAAGAAGGAAGAATATGGAAGGAATAAAAAATGTGACGGGGTGGGCATGGTTCCAATCTTGCAAAATTTCAATTCTATCTATTTCCTCCGTTTCACAATGTAAGTCATTCTAGAATTTCCGCCACATTCATATTGATGTTAATAAATCTAGACATATATATCTATTTAGATTTATTAACATCAGTATGAATGTGGAAAATGCTAGAATGACTTACATTGTGAAACAGAGGAAGTAGTTGATATCATGAATAGTAATGATATTTTTCTAAGTCGGCCAAGTTGCAATTGCGTTGATCAAATTAACCCTTTTTTACAGGACGCAGTTGACTTTAATGTGATATAACGACCTTTGATTAAAAAAATATGTAGATATTATTTATTTTGTTGTAACCTTTTTATCATCAAAGGAAGTAAGGCATATATTTTTATATATCTATACTTTTTTTAATTGACGAAAAATTAAATATTATGTTCAAAATTCAAGCACCATATATATATATATTTAAAAATAGAGGAGTATATTATAGAGGAAAACTGAAATTTTCTTTGGAAAAGTAAAAATTGCACCGAACCATCGATCGGTTCATTTTTAATAATATCGATCGATATATAGAGAGGCGGCTAGACCTAATAAGCTAGCTGGAAGAAAACTTACGATGCTGTACATGCAGCAAAGCAGCTACTGTGGGAGAGACAGATCGACGCATGTGCAAGCTAATTTAGCTATAGGTACTATATACCCTCCGTCACAATCGTGCTTCCACTGTCAGCTTTCATTTTTTGTTACGATCGGTTGCCATGTATGACATTTTGTTTTTGCACATGCCTAATTAAACACATAATACACGTTTTATTTATCAGTTATATATGTAGGCAAAATATACTAACGTAAGTCAACAAAAACAAGCATACAGATCATATATCTCATAAATAAGACCATCATGTCCTTTTTCAGCATAGTAAGCTAACTATTGTCATGGTGTCAACATAGCGTGGATGAATGTCAATATAGATGGACCATATATTGAGCACATTATATATAAGCAGTTGCGCGAGATGTATGTCTAAATCATAAGAGTCAATTAATCTCGCAACTTTTTATTTGTAAAAACTGATATGCTGACTATATTTATAAATATATTAATTGTTGTGAAACTATACCAGTTTAATTGTAATGATTGTGTATCGACTGTATGTGTCCACGTAAACCCCATGCATTCTTGACGCTGAATTTAAAAGAATAAATTTTATAAAACCTTATGTTCTATGGTAAAAGACATAGAAAATATATTATGAATTATGATATATAACCACACAGGTTTCATAGTTCAAGTATTATTTCATATTTAAAGCTCTACCTTTTCCCAAATCTCGATTAATTTAGTATACCTGAAACGATATTAATTATTTTAAGTATCAAAGAGTTAAATTAATCAACAACCTAAATAAGGAAAAAAATAAAAATTTCATATACACTTTATATTTTAAACTTTAAGTAAATGCATGCTTAACATCTATGGTAATAGGGTTTTATGAAATTTTAGTACCATAAAATATGAGGTTTACTGAATTTTACTCTTTTTTAAAAAAGGGTAGTTTATTCCCTTGATAAAGGAAATTAATTATAGAATATATAATTATTGTTACTACCCTTATTTAATCCCATCTCCCTAGCCAGATTCACCACAACAACTCTGGAAGCCAAAGAAAAGTAGTAGATGCAAAAGGAAAAGGAGAAGTTGGCAGCTTGATAGATAGCCTAAGCTTCTCTCTCCCCCCCCCCCCCCCCCCCCTCACCACCACCACTCCCACATTTCTTCCATCCCTACTCATCAACCTCACCCCTCTCTCCCTTTCTAGCTTGTTCATCAAACTCCCATATCACCAACATCAAAGATCTCATCCATATAGATCAACCTCTACCCTAGCTACATCACCCTTTCTTCTTCCACACCAAATTAATTAACCCTATCTCTCGATCTCTCCCTCTCTTCTTTCTTCCATTGCACCTAGCTTTCATCTTCTTCTCTTCTTCTTCTTCCTCTCCGGCCATGGCGTCCACCAGCGACAGCCTCCCTTCGTCGCCGTCACTGCCCACCACCGCCGGCCTCGACGCCGCCGGTGGCGGCGACCAAGAATTCTCCTCCTACCAGCACCACCAGAGTCTCTTCCTGCCATCCTCCTCCTCCTCCTACCTCGACTCACCCTTCCATGGCCTCCTCCACACCTCCTCCTCATCCTCCGCCACCATGTCCCCCTCGCAGGCGCCGCCGCCGCACCCTCCCCCTCCGGCGCCGACGTCCAACAACAAGCCGCCCAAGAAGCGGCCCAGAGCGTCCCGCCGCCCGCCCACCACCGTGCTCACCACCGACACCTCCAACTTCCGCGCCATGGTGCAGGAGTTCACCGGCTTCCCCGCCCCGCCCTTCGCCGCCGCGCCGCCACCCGCCGTCCGCCCTCGCCTCCTGGGCGGCGTCGGCGGCGGCCACCAGCTCCCTCCCTTCTTGCTTCGCCCCTCCCCGCTCAAGTACACGCACAGCCACCCCACGCCGCCGCCGCCGCCGCCGCTACACCACCAGGCTTGCACCACCACCTCCTTCCTCGGCAACGCCGCCGCCGCCACCACCAGCACGAGCTCTCTCGTCGACGCGCTCGCGCTGTTCGCCAAGAGCAACGTGATGGTGGCGCCGCCGCCGCCGCCGCCAACCTCCGCCGCCGCCTCGTCCAGCGCCGATCAGTACCACCACCACCACGGCATGACGATGGGTGGTCTATTCAACCCGTTCGACGACTACGAGGCCGCGGCGGCGGCCGCCGCCGCGGAAGGCGACAAGGTTGTGCACGGCGGCGCCGGCCATGGCGGCTTCTTCTCCCCCTTGGGCGCCGGCGCCGGCGACGACAAGTACGATCGGCACTAGCGCGCGCCGCCGCGTGTACGTATCTCTCTCGATCTCTAAAACCTCTGTGTGTTTTTGCGTGTGGATCGAGAGATCAATCAATCGATCGATCGATGGAGAAATTAAGAGAAGCATTTGGATTATGGATAGCTAAGCTAAGTTAATGAAGCTGAGCTAGCTTCTACTACTTGGCCACTGCAACTGTGTTGGCATTTGTTGTGAGGAGTTGATTAATTTCTTGTTAGTAATTTGGTTTTGAGATGATACGATGCATGTAAATAAATTTCATTTTGGGTTTTTTTTTTACTCGCTCGATCCAACTTTTTCTTTTTTTTTTGGTATTATTTAATTTCTTCCCGTGTGTGAATTTTTTGTGCAAATTTATTGAATTAAACGGAATTAAGCTATAGGGAAGATATATGCGTGCATTTGCCCTGAAAGATTCATAGATTGTTCGTAGAAAAAATAAATATGCAGACTTGTAAAAGGTCATTGTGTTCGGTTTCCATCGCTAGCGAGAGAGAGCTAGCCACCAAGAGTGTACGTCCTTATCGAGATGATAGATGAAATCATCCAACTGAGATCCTTCAGTTTAATTTCCCTTCAATTTCTATCGGTTTTTGGATGGATGTATATGCATGCCGTACATTCTGTGAAAGCTATATGGTTATTTCTAGCTAGCTAGTAGATTTCTTGGTGCGTCGTCTTGTCTATTAATTTGGATCTTGGAGTTGGCTTATATGAATTTTTGCAAGTTGAAACTCAAAGTGTAAACTGTTGCGCGAGTGAGAAATTCATCTAAGTCGTTTGATTTCTAATTAAATATTCTCATCTCTGGTCAATGATACTGCTTAATTATGGACCAATATGAATCCATGCTTCTCTTGAGATTTCAGCTTGTGCGCTGTTTGGTGTTTTAATTTGATTGAAATGTGAACCGCTGTTAATTTTATACATGCATGTATGCACATGGAGGCTTGATCACAATAATATATATGTAAGTTAAACATGTCTTTGCAAATAAAAAAAAGTATGTAAAACATGCATGAATATGCATATGGTTTTTTTTATCAAATGCAAAACTCATAACCAATTAAGTGCATTAGAATTTGGGCCGTAAAATTGCCTAAAGAATTGCTTGATGAATATGATTCACTAGTTTCTGCAGATTCAGTGTCTGTGATCTGTGTTAATTACTAGCTATGTTACGACTACTGATAGGTGCAAACTTATTAATTCTTGAATGCACACGCTGTGTTTAATTTCATTAATAATAATATTGGTGCTTAATTATATATGCTGGCTACTAATTGTGTTTCGTCTATTAGGACTAATATATTGTGTGAGTCTCATTTGGAACAAGGTCTTCTTTGGTTTTGGCTTTGTTTGGACGACATAAATTAATTAGACACAAAACATATATTAATTTTAGTTCCTAAAAGAATGAAGATAAAATCCAATGAAGTATAATGCCGCAGGCTAATTTTTTTTTCATTAATTTAATTAATATACTGGGGTTGTTTTCTCACTTTAATACCTCTTAATTCAACTTTTTCACCAATCTCTCTGATCTTGCTAGCTAGTTAGCTAGGTGTTGTGCTCCTAGCTTTATCTATCCACTGTTTTGATCTGATCTTCTTTATTCGCACGTACTGTGTCTTGAACCGTGTCTTAACATTGATGAAACTAATAATTGTTCAATCTCTTGATTTGAGAGCTGTCCACACAAAATTAAGAAATTTAATTCAAAAGGAAATCAGTGGACGACAACACTTGAAAATTCTCTTTGAAATTACCACTGGTACTAGAGCACATTTAATCTATAAATTATTGTGATCATATAGTATAAATTAACACAGCCATATTTATCATCATTTAATCATATGTACTTGTAAGAATTTCAATACTAACATACTATTTGCCTATTGAAATGTTTACTAGCTACAATTAATGTACGTGTGCCATCACGTGTGCATACGCAAAACTATTTAAGAGATGATGTACGCATACACAGTACACAGTAGCTAGCCTTATCTTTCTCCTTTTTTTTAACACATATTCACATAACGTAATGTCATATATATATAGTACTATAAATTAAAAGGTTTGTGTGAAAAATGCTTCAAAAACTGTATCCTCTTGTTAGAAAAAAATATTTAGTATTGAAATGATTCTCAAAATTGCTTCTTTTTGTGTAGCTATACAAACTTAGATATTTTTTTAGGTGAAAAACTATCAAATATAGTTATAGATAATCAAAATATAATCGCATTGTAACTTATATACTCCCTCTGTCTCATAAAAAAACGAATCTACTACTGGATGCGACATATTCTAGTACGATGAATCTAGACATATGTATGTCTAGATTCGTAGTAGTAGAATGTGTCACATCCGGTACTATGTTGGTTTTGTGTGGGACGGAGGGAGTATGTAATGTAACAGGCATACAGTTAGTTAGTACAGTAACTGTTAGTATACTATGGCCCTGTTCGTTCGTTTCTGCTTGTAGCAAAGGATAAAATTTTAGATTATCGTGGCACGCTTTTCAAATTGCTAAACGGTGCGTTTCGTGCGAAAACTTTCTATATGAAAGTTGCTCTAAAATATCAGATTAATTAATTTTTAAGTTTGTAATAATTAAAACTCAATTAATCACACGTTATTATCACCTTGTTTTACATGAAACAATTAATCTTCATCTTTAGTAGATTCTACCGTGTGCTTCCAAACGCTAGGACACGGGTTCAACTCCCTTCCTCCACGCACTCTCGTCAATTTTTTTTCTCGCCCCACATGGATCTCGAGACGATCCAATGGCTGTAAATTCGAAAGGTTTGAAAAGAAAATTCTATCGAATGATTTTTACGCATTCCCTTTTCTTATATTTTCAGTGCTAAAATTAATGTACTAGCTAGTTGTGTTGCAACGCGCGAGCCAATGGATGAAATGATTGTACGCACAACGTACTCTGAAATGATATGAAACTGTTGTTTTCTTCACAAGAGTTGGAGAATACACGCAAGGATCAAGTGGATGAACGACCGCCTCATCAATTATTTTTACATATAATAATACTGAGTACATATATATATATATATATATATATATATATATATATATATATATATATATATATATGTCTTAGCCATATATTCGTCTGTGCACAATTTAAAAACTTTGTGCGCAGACATATATATGCCCACAAGATTTAAAAAAAAAACTCAAGGGATTAATATGTATCCCTCCGTCCCAAAAAAAAAAGACCAATTCTACCTACGAATAGACATATATGTGTCCAGATTCATAGTTAGGAATTCATTTTTTTTACGGAGTAGTACTTAATTACCTTTGGTATATAGATATACATATATATGTCAATCTGTAAAACAGTAAGTGATCAATACATATACTAAATTACGTACCTTTGTTAATTAATAAGGATTTTGCAAGAGTTTTTTAATTAAGTACGTGTAGCACAGCGCTCTTATCCAATATTGACTTGTAGGCCACCATGCCCATGCCAAATTAAAGTTAATTAACTTGAATAACAGAGAAGATGGTGATGTTGTGCATGCAGCTACTGATCAGCTGCTGCCAAACAAGCAGCTAGCTGTAAGTATCTATCATCAAATATTGACTCCAAATAAATGGTTTATACTTTTTCTTTGCCTAGCTAGTTCCAGGACGATCAGCTGGTCGGTTACTTTTCATGAGCTATCATGCACATATATTATATATATATAAACATACATATATGCATATTATGTTGCCATGGAACTGTGGGTCTGGAAAGGTATACCTGAAGATATGCATGATTGCACCATCCAATCCAACATTGTTTGCCATCCATTGTTGTCTGATGAGATAGATGGATACAAATATATGCAAATATATGCATATAGTCTTCCCTACCTGATCTACTCTTTCTCTGCAGAGGTGAAAAATGAAAAATATCCAAACTAAAAGTACTATAGCTGCATGCAGGACTCCTACCGTAGCTGCACTTTACCTACCGCAGAAAGGACCGATGTTCCATGGCTGAGCCCCCTTTCATACTGAACCTGATATATATAACACGTAAAGTACTGTGTTGAAACATCATGCACAGATATACAATTCGTCATCATTCCAAGTGATGCTTAAAATTTCATAAAACTTTAACTCTTTTATCAAAAATATTAGTTCACTACAATTTCTAATTAATTAACCAGCCATTTTAGAGAATTGCAAAAACAGCAAGTTGATGATTTTATCCAAAAGCTGCAGCTTTATTTGTCTAATTGGTTGGGCCCAGTATTGGTCAAAAACACACATATATAATTACTCATGCAACTTCAAGTTAGTCCTACATGCTAAGTAGATATATATACCGAGTACAGTTTGATATATATATATATATATATATATATAAAATCATATGTTGGTGTTGTAATTTTGTTAAATGTCATACTAAGTTGCTACAAAAAAGTGATAGTTTTGATAAAATATAGTTAAAATTTTACTCCAATATAGTAAAGAACCCAACCTAGCTATCATCGAAGTTAAACTTCGGTACTGTATGACCTTGTGGATAAAGTGATCATAAAAATAAAAGGAGAACAAGAAGGAGGAACTTAGTTGCCATGGCTCATCTCGTTTTGTGCATCTGACATGAAGATTATTAAGTGCATGTCAAGGATAAAACCACACATCCATTGTCATTTGTCACTACATTATTAAGTGCATGTCAAGGATAAAGCGCTCATACTATCTAACTAGTAAAAAGTCATTACATTATTAAGTGCATGTCAAGGATAAAGCGATCATACAATCTAACTAACTAAGTACTTTTTATTCATGCAGCTGCAAGTTAGGATCCTGTGATCATATCTAATTAAGTACCATTTTACTAGCTATAAACACAAACCCTAATGAATGTGAAGCTAGCTAGTATGAGAGAGAGAGAGAGAGAGAGAGAACGCAAGTACAGTAATTGAGTAGAGACGGTCCATGGGTTTGCACTCTGGTAATGAAGCTGCAGATTGATCAGGTTACCCGATCGATGGCATGCAAGATGCAGAAGGACAAGAAGATCCATATCGGAAAGCAGCGCACCTAAAAACCCTTCAGAAAGGCACAAGCCTTTTCTCTCTCTCACTCTCTCTCATCTGCAAGATCGAAGAGCAAAGCCATCCTAGTGGAGGAACAAATCGATTGCAAGGAGCAAAGTGTGGGGGCCATTGCATATGCATTCTACGCATGCAGCTTCCTAGCTACTGGTAGCTAGCTAGCTAGAGGCAGCCGGCCTCTGTGTTTGTGTTTTTGTGTGTTTGTGTGTGCGTGTCATGATGACCTAGCTAGATGATACCTTCTGCTCCATCCGTCCTAACATAAACCAAATCTCGTACCAAATATATATATATTACATATCCAGTACTATGAATCTGGACACATTCTAATGTTTATTTTGAGATGGAGAGAGTAGGAGAGAACTAGAGAAGGTGTCCTGAACTGAACCCCCACTAGCTAGACAGTAGAGAGAAGAGAGAAGACTCTGTGGATGAGAGAGCTAGTAGCTTTGCTATGTAGACGATGATGATGATGATGGTGGTGT